GAGTGGATTACGGGGGGGGGGGGGGGGGAATAGACAAGTATCACTTATCATATGATTGAATGATCTATATCAGTGTTTTTTTTTTCGGTACGAAAAACAAGGAGCAGAATAATGGCTATCCTAGTGGTAATCCACTTTTTCACAATTGACAACTTTTCCAAATTATATAGATTAGAAAAAGAGACTAGTGACGTAATTCAAAATCGTAACTATAGCAATAAGCATTATTGGCATTACTTTTTGACCAAAAGGAGAATATCTAACTTTGACACTTTAAGGTTTCATCAAATTCATGATTAACAATGCTTTTATTGATATTCTAGTGGCTTATTACTAGGATATTCTGCTTTTCTTCCTTTACATAAGTGGCATGCGCAACAACCAGCCTCTCCATTTGACAATAATTATTTATTATTTTACACGTCCAAAGCTTATTCGTATCCAGATTTAACTTATTATATACATTGTTAGTATAAAAATTACATTATCACAATATACAATTTAATTTGTTAGAGCAATTGCATGTCATTTAATTTGTTGTAGCAATTGCATGTCTTACTTTTATTTATTGGTATTACTCAATAGTTATTCTCACCTAACCCGATAGTGTATGAATCTTTTACATTATTATTGTATATAAAAGTTAGATTACGCTTTCTCTCTTTGTCTTATCCGTTCAATTAATTATTTTGGCAAATGAGCAGTCTCATTTCTAGCAGCTCTAACTAGAATAAATATCTTGATAACACAGAAATCTCTCTAGAGTACAGAAAAAAATGGACATACAAAGAGAGCAAGAGGGAAAAAAATGCAAGCCTAGGAAACTCAAGAATTTCATGTCAATCAAAACACTGCTTGTTGTCATCAACTCCATCTTCATGGCAGTTGGCCAAATAGCAGGTGTTATGCTTGTTAGGATTTACTTTTTGCATGGTGGAAAAAGGAAATGGTTGCAAGCTTTTTTGCTTACAGCAGGGTTTCCAATCTTGGTTTTGCCAATTGTCATTTCTTATGCAAAAAGAAGAAAAGCTAAAACAGAAACTAATAGAGTTTTACTCACACCAAAACTAATATTAGCCAGTGCTATTTTAGGTCTCCTTGGTGTTTGTAGCTACCTCTACACTTTCGGCATGTCTTATCTTCCTGTTTCAATTTCCTCCCTCCTCGCTTCAACATCACTGTCTTTCACGGCGATTTTCGCGTATTTTATGGTGAAACATAAGTTCACACATTATTCTATAAATGCTGTGGTTTTGATGACATTTGGATCAATCATATTAGGGCTGCACATGAATGGAGATAGGCCTAAAGGAGAGTCGAATCGTCAATACGTTTTAGGGTTTGTCATGACAATTGTTGGTGCTGCTCTCATGGATTTGTAAATGCAGGGTGGAGTATAGCCATATCAAAGCTGGAGTTGCTGTTACGTTTGATCTTGTCATGCAAATGCAGTTTCTTATATGCATCTTCTCCACTTTGTTTTGTGTCGTCGCCATGATTATGAACGAAGATTTTCAGGTATACAATTACTACTATAACATCTTTTTAGGCTCTATTTGTCTCTAAAATTGCAGTAGACATGTATATATTCATAATAACGTAATACTACCTCCATTTTATCAGAGTTGTACTTTAATCTGTTACAATAGGTTGTTTACAAAAGCTTACACTGTTATCATATAGAAGTTAAATTATTTGTGCTATGATAAATTAGTATGATACAGAAACCATCATATTATATTCAAAAGTTGAATAGTTAGATGAAAGAAAATTATTACAAATAGTTGTGAGAACTATATAAAGATAATAAGTACTCCCTCCTTCTGTTTCAGATTATGTGACACATTTTAGTTTTTAGTTTATTCTAAAATGGACCACACACTTCTATATTTGCAAACAATTAACTTTATCCTACACATACCCTTAATAAGAAGCTTTTATAATCACACAAGTATGTTATGTCATATTTAAAGACATACTAAGTTTCAATAGCTTTATAACCACACAAATATTATGACATATTTTGACCACAAATTTCAAAAGTTTTCATTTAGTTATTAAACTCTACCAATTCAAACAACTTCACTTTTATTGAAACAGAGGGATTATTATCAATGTAGTGGAATATATATAAAAGGAATAAAGTTGATCAGTTACACTGACAAGAACTTTCTAGGTTCAGAGTGAAACATAAGCTTTTATAAAGATCCTTTATTTAATTCTTTTCAAAGATGATCACACGAGGGGATCGTCAAAATTAAGTAAAGAAGAAAGAGTGCCATAAATAGTGGAAAGGTGTGGTAATATGAAATGAAAAAAGTAGAATCACAATGACATGAACTTTTTTTGGTTTAGAATGAAAAGTATAAAGCTTTTACATATCTACTTAATCAAGTGGGATATAACTTCATGCATTTTACTATATTTCTTAAAGTATATGCAGGCCATCCATAGAGAGGCTGAAGAATTTGGACTGGGGCAGAACAAGTATTATATGATATTAGCACTATCAGCAATAGCTTTGCAAATTATGATTATTGGAAATCTTGGGCTGATCTTCAGCTCCTCAGCTCTATTGTCAGGGATATTTAACTCCTTCTAGTTCCAGTACAACAGATCTTTGCTGTTATGTTCTTACCTGAAAGCTTCAATGCAGAAAAGTGGATGGCTTTAGCTATGTGTCTTTGGGGTTTCGCCTCTTATTTCTATGGTGAATATAAGGCCAGCTTAAAGGTCACAAAGACCAAACACGCAACTCAGCCAGACCAAGTTTGAGTAAATTACTACCTTTGTAATTTTCATTGGTCGTATGCAGAATTTTTCGTAAATAATGTCGACCTATAATATTAATTCGGCTTGTACACAAGTTTGAAGGCGTTACTTCCTATTGGTGCTGGCAGCCTATTATGTATGCACGTGTATATATATTAATTTTATTAAATATATATAAACAAAAATATAGCCTATTAAACAAAAATAAATTATATGAAACGATGTCGGATGACACTAATTGATTCAAGGTGTTTCTGCCACTGAATATACAAGTTCAAGTTAATGTTACCCCTATGTATCTCAACTCCGATTCCACCAGAAATCTTTTGAAAATCAGAGAATCAAGCAGTGAAAGCTCAAACATATATTATCTCAGTTCTTCTTCTTTCCTTTTACGACCGGTCGAAGACAAAATGAAATGGGCATAATGTAGCTGTTGAGATGAAGCCATGGAAGTTTCTAGATCGAGCAATTGAGAGAGATGGAACAGAGGAGGAGAAAAGAGTTCTGGAATAATCATTTCCGCTTACTTTCATATGAGATGTACATCACTATTTATACAGAGTATTTTCTAACTAACTGATAACTAACAAATAATTAAATATTAATAAATTGTACAACCAACTACTAACTAACACCTAACTAACTATGCCACATCATCATTCCTCTTAACATTCTCCCTCAAGCAGTGATTGAGAAGAGATTAACACTCCCAGCTTGGACAACAAGTAATCATGCTGTGATTTACCAAGTCCTTTTACCAGGATATCTGCTAGTTGCAGATTGGAAGGAACATGGATTGTATGAATAAGACCTTCTTGCACTTTCTCTCTAATGAAGTGGCAGTTAATTTTTATGTGCTTAGTTCTTTCATGGTATATAGAACTTGCTGCTATTTGAATTTCTGCTTTGTTATCGCATAATAGCTCCACTGGTAAATCCACATCAAAACTTAGCTCCTTGAACAATCCTACTAACCAAACTACCTCAGCCACTGCATTTGCCATGCTTTTGTATTCTGCCTCTGCTGAGCTTCTTGAAATGGTATTTTACTTCTTTGATTTCCAGGAGATTAAGGAATCTCCAAATTTTACCACAAATCCACTGACTGACTTCCTTGTCATTGGGCAAGTATCCCAACCTGCTTCACAATGTATTGTGAGTTGTGATGAAGCCTTAGCAGATAACAATATACCCAGTCTGGTGCATTCATTAAATACCTCACTACCCTTAGAGCCCCTTCCATTGGTTTCTTTAGATACCACGCTACCCAGCCTGCATGTATTGACTCAGATTTTGCACAACATAAGCTATGTTTGGACTGGCCATAGTGAGGTAAAGTGACTTTCCTACCAATTTCTGATAGCTGGTAGGATCACTCAACAACTCATCTTGTTGACCAGTGCATGTTCCTCCTTCATCAAATTCTATACTAGTGAGCCTCTGATTCACTTCTGATAGAGTGTATGCTTGTTTAGATCCAGCTAAGCCAAGATCACCAATCAAATCCAGTGCAAATTTTCTCTAGCAAACTAGAATTCCCTATTCGCTTCTAGCGATTTCAAGGCCAAGGAAGTACTTCATCTCCCCTGGTCCTTGATTTTGAAATAGTGTTGTAACATGAGTTTGGAAGCTTCTATCATAATTTGGTTAGAGCCAGTGATTAAGAGATCATCAACATATACGAATACAAAAATCTGATCTTGTCCAGATTTTTTGGTGAAAAGAAAGTAGTCATGGAGGCTTTGTACAAATCCAGAAGCAGTCAAAGCCTCACTAAGCTTGAGGTTACACTGTCTAGAGACCTGTTTGAGGCCATACGAGGACTTTTGAAGCTTATAGACTTGTTGATACTCCCCCTTGCTAACAAGGCCAGGTGGTGGAATCATGTACACATCTTCCACCATTTTCCCTTGCAAAAAAACATTAAAGACATCCATCTCATGAAGCTTCCATCCATGCATAGCTGCTAGAGACAAAACAGCTCTGACAATCACCATCTTGACTACAAGAGAGAAAGTTTCCTAATACTCAAGACCTTCATGTTGTGTGTAGCCCTTGGCCACCAACCTTGCCTTATATCTTTCCACCTCACCCTTCACAATGTATTTGAATTTGAACACCCACTTGCATCTTACAACCATCTTACATGCAGGTAGATCTACCAAACTCCAAGCCTTGTTTTCATTTAATGCCTTCAGTTCTTGATCCATGGCCTCAATCCACTTAGGGCCATGCATGGTCTCTTCGTGAGAGGTGAGGTATTTTTTGTTGCTAGTCCAAGTATTTGAGTGGATTGTCTATAACTTGTCCCGAATATGTTTCAAGGCGAAATTCTAGGTTTTCTTGGTTTGGAAGATGATTGTAGGCTTTCCTTGGTCCGTTTGAGCTTTCTATTGCCACCTAATGCTTGTTATCCCTAGTCAACCCCTTTGAGCCTGATATTCGGCTTAAAGTATGTATATTTATATGCATATTACCTCGTATTTTACTCATGTTTCGTAGATTTCACGTGTGTAATGTAATGGTTTGTGCTAATTAGTGGTATTTTTATGTGTAGGAATCATCCGGAGATAATTTGCACGAAGGTGCGCGAATTGAAGCGAAAAGAGGAAGAAAGGGAAAAAAGTCACAAAGTAGCGCCACAGGCAACATGGGGTTCTACCTGTGGTGCCCAAGTCAGAAGCTCCAAAACTCCAGTGCCCCACGTTACCCCGGGCGCTGGTGACATGAATTTGTCCTATTTCGCCCGGGATTCGGTTATGTTGACCCCAAGACGCCCCCAACTCGTATAAGGTAAACCTAAACCCATTTTGATAAAAGAGTGAAGTGACTTTGAGGGAGAAATACAAGCACGAAACACTCGGGAGCATGAAATCCATCAATTCTTCCATTCTTCTTCTAGTATTCATAGCTTTTATTTTTTAAAATAATATTTTGATAATTTTTATGAACATGAGTGGCTAAGAACCTCACTATTCTAGGGTTATGGGTCGTTCTTGACTATTGTAAATTGATGGTTGATTATTTTGCTTGACTTTATCATATTAATTTGTTTATTCATTCTTGCACTTAATTAATCAATTGTGTAGCTAACAATAGAGTACTATCTATGAATTAAGAGTTGAACTCGAAAGTAGGAACTATAAATTGCATATAAAGTTGAATAGAGTAAGTTAATGAATTAGGGCATCGAAGAATAGATTCGTGATTAGGATAGACATATTCTAGTTACCTTACTTGGCTGTTTTAGTAGGAAATATACATGCGTTCTTGTGAAGTTTTATTCTATAGACATATAGTCTTAGGTTGGCTTGAATAGGCGAGCGAAGCGTCGAAAGAACTTTGTGAGCATAATAAACCCTGCTAATCAAAAAATTAGATAAGTCAAGTGATTATATCAAGCCGAAAAATGCAATAGGAGAGACGTTAATCCCATAACCCTGGAATATCTCCATCTCATTGAATTCTTCCTAAGTGTTTATTTGCTCTACTTGCGCTTTTATTTTCTTGCTTGCTTATTAGTTTGTAGTAATTTAGTTATAAAAATCACTATCATCTTATTCATACTCACTTGAGCATTAAATATATAAATAGCTTAGATTGGCAAATAGTTGATCATAAATCCTCGTGGGAATGATACTTTCTTACCACTTTATTACTTGTCGACTGCATACTTGCGTGTGCGTTTGGACCCAACAAATTTTTGGCGCTGTTGCTGGAGAATTAAAATTATTTATTTTTCTGAAATAAGCTCTTATTTGTGTTTGTTCAGGTGTTAATCTGTATGACTGTTTCTGACTCTACAGGTGTTCACCTTGAATTTAAGAAGAAGCAACAGTTTGAACAACCTTCCTCCTCCTGATCCTGAACCCGAAAGACTTTTCCACATGATAAGGATAGAGGCAGAAGAAAGAGCAAGAATTGTAGAGTTGGGTATTGTAGTCCAACCACAACCAATCGAGATGGCATAAAATGAAGAAAGACATGTGATTGAGGCAGTATGGCCTAGTTTCGCGAACATGACTCAAGCTATCGTGATGCCAGATGTAACTGGGCACTTTGAGCTGAAGCACTACATGGTGCAACTGATTCAATCCACAAGGCTATTTGTGAGGTTGTCAAGTGAAGATCCCCAAAGGCATATACAGAATTTGTTGGAGATTACGGATACATACAACTATCCGAACGTCTCTAAGGACTATGTTAGACTGACTTTGTTTCCCTTTTCTCTAATGGGGGAAGCAAAGGAATGGTTAAACAAGGAGCCCGCAAACTCGATCCACACTTGGGATGATTTGGCATGAAAATTCCTAATCAAGTTTTTTCCCACTAAGAAGACAAAGGCACTAAGAAGTCAGATTCTTAGGTTTCAACAACGAGATGGTGATGCTCTTCGTCAAGCTTGGGAAAGATATAAGAAACTACTTAGGGACTGCCCATATTATTATCATATTGATGAGGTGTTGGGACATACTTTTGTGGATGGATTAGACGAGACCTCCAAATTAAATCTAGTTTCAGCTTGTGGAGGAAGTTGCATGCAAAAGCCATACTGTGAGATTCAGACTTAGCTCAACAATTTCACTGCAAATGATCATAACTGGTAGGGTGAAGGTGACTCGAGAAGGATGATAAAATAGAAAGCAGCACGTACACTCGAGCTGGATAAGATGTCAGCCATGCGAGCAGAGATTGCTATACTAAACAACTACATGGATAAGATGGCAATGGGTCAAGGGAATTAGATGCAACAGGTTTAGAGGATGATTGTATGTTGTGAAATTTTTGGAGATGGTCATATGAGTGACCAATGTCCGGTGAATCCTGAATCTATCTATTATGTGGGCCACCAAGGTAGAGGTCCAATAATTCAGAATAATCAATATGGGAAAACCTATAATCCCAACTGGAGGAATCACCCGAATTTCCCATGGGGTGTGAATCAGACCACTCAAAATTATAAGGGAACTATAATCAGCCTCAAAAGCCACCTCAACAGGTAGAAAAAACACACTAGTGATATGTTGAAGAAGCTATTGATTAACAACTAGCAACTTCGAACAGATAATCAGCAGTTGAGTTGAATTTTGAAATATAAAGAGGTAGATTAGGCAGTTGGTTGCACAATACTCGACCAACAGGGGCCCTTTCTAGCGATAC